AGCTTTAGCAAGTGCAATGTAGTGCCTGGACCAGAAAAAAATATGTAGGAAGCTCAGACTATATGTGTTTTCTGAGATAAATCGTGTTTACTGGAATTCATAATCTTATTTTGTGATATAATTTATTTTGTAGTTACATGGAATAATAGCATTTTAACCATGTGTACAGCTTTACTGGTATGTACTTCATGATGATTTAAACAGAGATTCCAGTGTCTTAGACTGACTTTGAAAGTGATGCAAAACTCTAAGGCTATAAACTTCCTATTTGAACAAACAACACTGGGTAACAATGTAAGAACAAAATATTCTTCTAAAGTCTATAACACATCATATGAAAAGTATTAAAGAAGCACAAGTAGGGAAAATATTATGTTGAAACAAAAATAGTTGTTAAAAATTACATGTAAAGTGGCATGTACTAGCCAGGCACTGTGGTATGTACATGTGGTCCCAGCTACTTGGGAGGCTGAAGTAAGAACAACCCATGAGCCCTTGAATATTCCTTTAAGACCAGTCTGGGTAACTTAGCAAGACCCCAACTCCAAAAAAATGCTAATAAATGCAATATTAGGCACAATATAGCAAACCTCTTACCCACAAAATCTTATTTTAAATTCTGAGTATCCATTAGCAGAACAAACTGAAACTGAAATTCCTATCCTATTGTGCAGTCCCAGTGTTATTTAATGTTTACAGAATAAGGCATTTTCCCTATAAACAAATATATAATTTGTTTATATATTATAATACCTCATGATGTCCATTCACCACAGCATCATATAGGGGAGTGATCTGGTACATCCCTTTGATGTTTACATCTGCTCCACCTTTTAACAGTTCATTTGCGGTCTGATAAAATCCCCCAACACTAGCTTCATGAAGTGCTGTCCAACCTATACAAAAAAAGAAATTGTATTTGTTTATATTTGGCATCTTAACACTGCTTTGTATTTACCCTTTAGAAAAATTTAATTGTAGAAGGTTTACAAATATTTTGATTATATAAAAATATACCACATGAAAAATTCTATAATTTGATAGAATCAATAAATCTGAGCAATAAATCAAATTCCTAACCCTCAACTCCATTACAGAAAATATAAAAAGTCAAATATTTCAAGTGTTCCTGATTCTGCCATATAAAAAATTGTGTAGGTCAACTTTTAGATAATAAAACATACTAGCTGCAGGCTACTTTT